TATACACAAATTTAAATGTTCGAAACTTCGAATTACATACTCTAATATCCGAACATAAAATTTAAAATTTAAAATTTCAAAATACAAAATATAATAATCCATAATATAAATAATTCATTATATTTTATATAATTATATATATATAAACTAACCGGGTACTCGGGTAACCGGGTACCCGGAAAAACTAGATTTTGTGACCCGGGCCCGACCCGGGAAATGTCGGGCCGGGTTAATTTTTTTAGAGAATTATCCGGTTTTTTTAGATCCGGGTCGATGGGTCGGGTCAACCGGGTCGGGTAATTTTGCACACCCCTACCAGTAATCTCGTATGACAGAGATAAACAAATTAGGATAAATTACGCATTTAGTATCTTAATTATCAGTTTCGGTTTGTTTTAGTACTGAAACTTTCAATTTTTTTTAAAATCATACATATGTTTAGTTTTTATTTTATTTTAGTACCCTGCTGTTAAAATTTTAAGGTGTTTAGTACGTAAATATCAATTTTGGCCTGTTTTAGTACATGAACTTTCAATTGAAAAAATTATGGTTTTGAAAATGAAACAAAAATTAAACTTTAAGTATGATCTTGAAATACTTGAAAGTTTAAATACTAAAATGCATCAAAACTGATGGTTCAGATATTAAACGCATAATTTACTCAAAATTTTATATGTTAAAGATTGTGAGCATTACATTATAAGATATACTCATGAGAGAGCGAAATCATCAGCATTACATATTGAGAGTAAAAAGAACTACTCAACAAGGTTATAGACATTGGCTCTTTTATTCGACTCACTTTTTTTTTCTTTTATTCGACTCACTTTTCTAACTAATAAAATAATTCATGAGTCAATATCGGGACAGATGTAGAAATCTATGTAAGGGATAATTAAGAAGTTATATTAAAATTTTAGGGATGTGAAATTATAAAATTTTAAGAATGTAAAATTAGATAATCGATAGAAAATATAAAATAATTCAAAAACATAAAAAAAAATTAGAAATTTTAGAGGATGCGACTATCTACCGAAAACAATTGTCAAACAATAAAATAGAAAAAATTGAAAAAAAATAAAACCTCAATAATCTTTAGACAAAATCACTTGAGCAAAATAAACGGCAATCACCTATCGGAAAGGAGAGATCATCGATGAAAAACTAAAATAACATAAGGCTGATCATATTTAAATATATATATAAGCCGTTTAGTATTGCGAAAATTCAACTCAACTCGAAAAATTGATTTTTTTCAACTCGAACTAAATTGATTTCATGTTGTAATTTCATAAATTCGACTCGACTCGAAAAAAATTATAGTTCAAATCGAGTTGTAAAATACAACTCGAATTTTTTAGTACTTAGTAGATTGATTTTCAAGTTTGAGTCAAGTTCCTCGACTTTGAACGGTATATGTAAAATATATATGCAAAAAAATGTATATATATATATATATATATATATATATATATATATATGCATATGGTTATAAAATACAATTTAAATTGGAATCAAATAATTTTATAATATTATAGATATTTACAATTAAAATTAAATAGAAACTCGAAAATTTGACTAACTCGACTCAACAAAATTTCAAGTCCACTTCGAGTTATAAAATAGGACTTGTCAACTAGAATAATTCAAAAAAAAATTATTCGACTCAATCGAAAGCTCACCCCTACTAAATAAAGGAAATTGGACACAAATAGCTGTAAAACAATTTTAAAAAATAGGCCAAATTATGCATTTAGTCCTATATTATCAGTTTTGGTCCGTTTTAGTACTTAAACTTTCAAATTTTCAAAACCATACCTAAAGATTAATTTTTGTTTCATTTTAATACCTCATCGTTAAAACATTTAGTTTTTATTTCATTCTAGTGTCATGTTCAAAATTTAACGTTAACTTTTGGGAAAAATTTGAAAGGTTAGATACTAAAATATATTAAAATTGATAATTTAAATACTAAATGCGTATTTTACCATAAAAATAATAAAAAATTGGAGAAAAAAATAAAAAAAACTAAAAAACCTCTAAAACAAAACTATTTAAGCAAATCAAACTTCAAAATAACATGACCTTTTGAAATTAATAACTGACACATAATGTACGTAATGATAAGATTTGAAGAAAACAATACAAAACAAATCAATCATACCACAACTGTTTTATTCCTCGTAACGATCATCCTTGTTAGTACTTTTCCTTTTTCCTTATTCAAGTGGCAGAAGCATCTTTTATTATAATAATAATTAATTATACTTAAATTTGATCGATTTAATAAGTGAAATATACTCATATATGCCGACGAATGTCGATACAAGTAGTTGAAATTTAAGAATTTGAGATTGTAAAATTAAGTTCAAATCATATTACCGTCATTTTTTATGGGTAATATGTAAATTCTTATATATATCCCAATTGAGTCTTAAATATGTCTTAACAAAGATCGGGGGAGCCACCTCTAACCTAGACTTTATTTGATAAAAACAAGAAGAAAGAAATATACTCAGATATATATAACTTCAGTAGTACTTAAATAAGCATAATTACAAAGAAAAAATACTTATAATTTACATAAACCTAAAGTTTGAACATAAAATATCAAAATTCTCGAGAACTCAATATTATTATTAAACTAAGGGTAAACTACACCAATGATCACTAATATTTGAGTAAGTTTTAGTTGTCCTCACTAAAGTTTTAAAAGTAACAAATTAGTCACTAATTATATCGATTGTAACAAAATGATAACTAGCGTTATCGATTTGTATCAAAATGGTCACTCTACCATTATCTCTGTTAAATTGATGATATGGCACTATTAATAAAAAGGTTACTATTTAGTTTTACCCCTAAACTATTGTTAAAACATCAAATAGGTTGTTAAACAATGGTTTTGTATTTAATTTATCCCAAAGGTTTTCTAATTTCCAATTTTTTTAAACACCCCACCATTTATAGGTTCTTAAATTGTCATTTAGTTTGCAATTTGTGTGATCTGTTAGTTGTCTGATGTATTGTTTTAATATTTAAATTAATTGAATATATAGTTTTAAATGCTCATGTATGTCTTTAACGAAAAAACTCCATTTATCTATACAATATGTGGTTTTTGTTTTGTAGGGAAGGTGGTTTGAATATAATTGTGGTGGTGGGTGTTTAGAAAACTATAAATTAGAAAGTTTTTGGCATAAATTAGATATAAAATCATTGTTCAAGGACTTATTTGATGTTTTAGCAATAGTTTAATAATAGTAAAACTAAATATTAACATTTTTATTAACGTTGTCACGTCATCAATTTAACAGAGATAATAGTGGAGTGACCATTTTGTTATAAATCGATAACGTCAGTGACAATTGTGAATTGAGCAAATTGGGTTGAGAGGGTCACCCTTATCTCTGCAATATCCGATCTGAATTAGTCGATTAATAGAACGCATAATCGTTTATATAAAATAAAACTCATAAAAAATTGCACTAGCCATAGCCGACATTTGTTATTTATTTTCTATCTTTCCTTAAAAATGCGCCTTATCTTTAAATTATTCGTTTATATGTTTGATTCCGTCTAGAAAGTGTATACAAATTTAAACAATTGATCACAATAAACAACATTACATTTTCTAAATGCTGGCTCGTAATATTTATGAAATAAAACTTATTAACTAAGAAATAAGTTAATGAATGTTATAAATCAAATTACCAAATAATCACCAAACTATTTATATGTTTCAAACTCGTATTTTTCGTTAAAAATGATGACATTTTGAGTTGAAAGTTAGCTTACTGATGATGATATGATAAAATTTAATCACAGAATCTCAAACGACCATCATATCTCAGTCATTATGTTAACGTCCAGCGCAGACGACCGACTATCTTTTAACGGAAAATGATGAATTTTGAACATAATAAATAGTCAAGTAACCATTTTATAAGTCGAGAGACTCAACAAACAATAACTTATAATCGAATGATCATCCTATAACTTTTAGTAAAATTTTAATGCGTGCCTGCAATATATCTACAACACGTATTAGATTTACATTTATACTTTATCATAATAAATTTTATATTTTCATGGCTGAATAAGATTTGAAAGTCGAAATAGCTCGTCGGTTTTTCGTTCCTCAGGACTAGGGAATGTAGAGAGAGTTCAAGGAAAGAATTTTAATTTAAAGTTAAGAAAATGTGATCGAAAATGTTATAAAAATATAATCCTTTTGGTTTAACGTAATTTAAAATGTTTATATTATTTTAATTTTTTTGATTGAATTTTCTTTATAATATTTTTAGTTTAGAATAAAAAATGTTATATTATGTATAATATTTTCGATCGAAATAAAAATTATAAAAATTAATCTTTTAAATTACGTTCAACTAAAAATGTTATGATTTTGGGACAAAAGGCCAAAGGAGTGTTTGGTGTGAGGTAAACGGCAAGAATTACCTCGAAGAACAGAAAATTGTTCTTTTGTGGTTCAAGTTTCCGATATCACCTTTTCTTTTTTATACTAACCGACAAAGAGCTAATAGTTTTATTAATTTTTGGATAAATTATGTGTTAGTACCTAAACTATCAATTTTGATTCTTTTTAACACTTAAGCTTTTATTTTTTTCAAAATCATACCTAAAATTTAATTTTTGTTTCATTTTAATACCGTTCAAAACTTAACGTCAAGTTATGAAGAGATTTAAAGTTTAGGTATTAAAACAAATAAAAACTTATGGTTTAGATACTAAACGCATTAAGCTTTTAACGACGAGATACTAAAATGAAATAAAACTAAACATTAGATATTGTTTTGAAAAAATTAAAATTTTAGGTACTAAAACAGATAGTTTAAGTATTGAATTCGTAATTTAACCTTAATTTTTAATGCAAAACATATGAGTTTCATAATACTTTTGTCATTGACTTCTTACAACTTGATTCCGAATCGTCAACTACATTATTTAGCGGTCCATCTCTTTCTGAGCAATAAATCTTGGTAAAATGATTATATTATCAATACGAATACAAATTTATCATTTTGAGCATAATGGAATGATAATTGTACCTCAAAGAAACCCTATAGGATCAAATGAATACAAACACTACAATCTTAAATTCAATATCTAATCTCTTCAAACTGCTAACTAGTCCCTGCATAACCCTCTCTCTATCACTCCCCTCCTCTAATGCTTCTAATGCATAACCCTCCCTGTTTCCCATAGCTTCATCGTGGCACGTGTTAAAAGAATAGAATGCTTTAGATAGTTTTACCAATAAGAACACCATTTATCGCATTCGAGGTTGCTTTAAGAGCTTTAAGAAACGGACCGACCTTGCACGATCATGGTCCCGCCTAAATTCAAGCCAACAGGGTATTATACGTCATCAGGTGGCAATGTAGGGCTTTTGGAGCACATTCCGATCTTGTGAAGCTCCTTAAGTTTGCTAGCCGGATTGCATAAACCTATAAAATGGACACCAATTTGTTCAACAAGGAGACCAGACACGGAGTATCATGAACAAATTTCATGAAGCTATCTCATCTTAAACCATAGCATAAGCATTAGCCAAAGGGCAAGCATTAGCAATAAAACAGACAAATGAGGAAACCGTGGGGCGTGGTATAAAGTGGTGGGATCTCTATTTTTCATTTGTTTTCCCCCATTCTTCTCCAGACTAATAAATAACATGATACCGGTAATAGCGAGGTTTCAAGGCAGTAAGATAATAATTCGACAGAAATCCAATAACCCCTAGTTTCAAAAATCAACAAATGTCAAAGCACGATGACACTTTACAAAGACACTATGAAGGTGAAAATATTCTCGAGTATCTAATCTATATACGTGTTCTAGGCATTTATCACATCCAAAAACATCTCATTAATAAGATATAACAGGGTTTCTTATTGCAGCTGTGCTACCTGAGCATCTTGGGATATCCCAGACTGCTATTGATGTAGGTGTACATCTAGGATCACATATTGCTCTGTTATCTTCATGATGCACGTTCATGGCTAGCATCCACGATCCAATAGTCACATCCTCATTGTTGAACATCCTCAAACTGAAAGGTCAAGCAACTCATCTATAATAGAATAGCCATACAAATAAAACCAATAATATGTTTTGATTTGCTATCCTATGGAGTTGGTAGTGTTAAACAGAGTATGACAAGGATATAACTTATAAGAATGCAGAAAGGAGATACTTAAAGCTATATGCTTGCAACATGTACAAACTTTTTTATTGGACCGAAAGGAGTTTCAGAAACGTCGGGTATAAATAAAATGAGCTATAAGCACAAGTAAATGCATTAATATATTGAAAACTCATTGCGTTGAACTCGTGAATCCAAGTTCCAAGATAACTATGAAAGGACTCGACTTATTTGTCACAAACTAAACTGTGGAATGATAAATGTATTAAAAACATCTTATCATAATTAACAACTTTTTAACTAAAGAAATGCAATCGGGTGCACTAAAGACTAAACATGGAATATATACTTCTATGGCCGGTTCGATACTTAGACTGGTCAAGATACAACAGTTACAAATAGCAATTGGAATCAAACTCAAAGCAAAGGCAAACCTGTTATTCCTAGCAGCTGCCAATGAAGCCACCACCTCTGCAGAGAGAACATATATAGGACCATAAGCATGCAAGAAATACTCATTTCCAATCAGATGTCCTGATTTCTCATACCTGAAAATTTACACTAATAAATCCTCCAATAATTATACATATTTCAAGGTAGAAATATATGAATCATAAAAGAACAAGAAAAAGATATACCATTTCAATTTAGGATCAGTGATCACAGGTCCCTTTTTCATGCACCCAATGTAAGTCATGGAATGGGTTCGTTCCTTCGCAAGAAGAGTCGCAAGCCGATCTGGCGGAATCAAAACAAAACAATTTAACATCACACTCAATGCATTTACACTTGAAATCACACACTCAGGATTTACCTGGACGCAAATAAATGTCATCGTCAGCTTTGACATAATAATCTGCTTCAAATAGCTTAAAAGCTGCTTTGAAGAATGCTACTCTGAAAAGGGCAAAAGGAAAATATTTCATATACATGATGATACAGACCATTGTTTACACATCAATAAGCTGGTGCTAAAAAACTAGTTATGATTTATTTCTTACGTTTTGTAAGGAAGCTTAAGATACTCTTCTTCAACATCTATCAACATGAAATCTCTGTACTTTTCAATCTCTTTCTCAAGCATTGCCATTTTCTTCGCATCTTTTGATTTCCCTATCACAAATCTGAAACCCAGACCGGTAGCTTGCTCCAGCCTTAATTAAAAAAAAAAAACCAATTGTTAAAATTTCGATGAAACAAAAGAACCCCAATTGAGAAAAAAATGTGAATTATACCTCAAAAGGTCCTCCGGGTCGGAAGGGAAACAGGTGCTACGAAGGGCAGCTCGGCGTTCACCCGATTCGAACCCGGTTTGGATGCCGACGAACCCGAGAAGCTTGGGCGATCAACTAAGCCTCTATTACTGTCATCACCGTGTTTTGCGGAATCTGAGGAATAAAAGGCTCGGAAAGTGTCCTCAGATTTACCACATCGGAAGACAGGTAAGGGTTGGTTGCGGTGGATGGAGGAGACGGCGAAGAGTGTGCCGGCGAGACCGATGAAGAGGCAGAGGAGTGAAAAGGCGAGAAGCGGCAAGGGAGTCCGAGTTGATGAAAATGAGTAAAAGGGCTTCGATGGCTTTACAGGCTTTGAAGAGTAGAAGTAAGGTAGCGGATCACCGCTTACAGGGCCGCCGGAGCTGGCGGAGGAGCGGTGAGAGAAAAGGGGCATTTTTGGTGAATTATGGGAGGATGGGTGTGAGAAAATATAGTAGAAATAGTATTGAAGATCCTGTAGATTTTTAACACCAGTCACTCACTGAGTTGAATGGTCGTGTACCTTTGTAGGAGCGAGCTGGCGCTTACAGTAGTTGCCAGTTGCCCTTTCTTTTTCCTTTTCTTTTTCACCCATTTGTCCTCCTTTTAGAGGTGAAACTCACAATGTCACATTTATTCCGATCAATTTTAAAAGGTAAAGTAACAAGTCTAGCCCCTAATTTTTTTCATTATCGCTATGGCCTTCAACCTATAAAGTAGTCAAATTATTGTGCTATCCCTTGATTATGATATATAAAATTTTCACGAAAAAAGTATCGAAGATTCATGTACTTTTTGAAGAAAATCAATACCATCATATTATTTTTTTCCTCTTAATATAACCTTTTAATTTAAAAAATAAATTTAATGTAATTTTTTTACCAACGTTTTTCATTGTTTATCATTGGCATGTCAATTCACAGTGTTAATGTGGTGATCCACTGTGTTGATGTGGTAATTCATTAGCCATTTTAGAGTTATTAATTTAATTCATTTGTCATGTCATCCACTACACTAATCTGTCACCCTGAACTGTCATGTCAACATCGTAAACTATCACATCAATCCCGTAACAGTCAACGACAAAAAAAACGTTAATCAAATTATCACATTACGTTTGTTTTCTAAGTTGGAGGGTCAAATTGCGAGAAAAAATAATACAGGGGCTACATTGATTTTTTAAAAAGTACAAGGATCTCTTTATGCCTTTTTCCCTAAAATTTTACTAGTAATCTTTTATATCATGGACATAAATTTATGCTATGTTAAGAAGACGAGCTTATAAAAGAACTAATAAAACAAGTCTTCTCTGTCCTAAATTTTCTTTTAGGCCCAGATGACAAGGGAACCCATTAAACTAGCTCCTAGGAAGAGCATGAAGTAGGACGCTACTTGAAGTCTAAAATTGCAGCTCATCCTCTTAGAAAATCTGCAGCAATTAGATCTACTAATGCCATGTAAACTAGAATCCCGGTCAATAACGAGTCTAGGACGCCTTCAGTAACAATAGCTATCGGACTGTAAGGGTTGTAGAACGAAGCAATGTTGGTCCTGATGCCGATTCCGGCCGAGGTTGTTATGGCCAAAAAAACATGCTGTTAGGTATGGCTCATAAATATACCAGTAAAGAGGACAGGAGATGGAGCGGAGTGAGCGAAGCGAACATCAACTGTCCTTACAAAGAAAGTCTCGTTGTGGGGTTACGAATTATGTGGGTTGGGGTGCGGGGGCGCAGCCCCGCGGTACGGTACAGGGTTAATTTTGTAATTATGTACCAGAGTTTTCTATTATAAATAGAGATGTAACCTAGACCTAAAATATCATTGAATAAAAATTTCTAGCGCCGCCTAGGCACCGAGGACGTAAGCACATTGCCGAACCTCGTAAAATTCTCGTGTTCTTTTGTTTTCTTTACCCGTTTTCGTCAACAATTGGTATCAGATGTCAGGAGCAAAATTCGAAGTCGCGAAATTCGATGGTCAGGGTAACTTCGGATTATGGCAAACGAGGGTGAAGGATCTATTGGCGCAGCAAGGGATCTTGAAGGCTTTGCGATCTACAAAGCCGGCGTCGATGGATGAGGAAGATTGGGAAGAATTGCAGCAGCGAGCGGCAGGAACCATACGATTATGCTTGGCGGACGAGGTCATGTATCACGTCATGCATCTATCGTCTCCAGACGAAATTTGGAGGAAGTTGGAAAGTCAGTTTATGTCCAAATCCTTAACGACAAAACTGTATCTGAAGCAACGGCTGTATGGGCTGAAGATGCAGGACGATCACGATTTGGCGCAACACGTGAATGTCTTCAATCAAATCGTTTCTGATCTGGCTCGGCTTGATGTGAAAATTGAGGATGAAGACAGAGCGATGATTCTGTTGTGTTCGTTGCCTCCCTCTTACGAACACATGGTGACTACTCTTACATATGGGAAAGAGACTATCAATGTTGAGGAGATTACTGCAGCCTTGTTGGCTCACAACCAGCGGAAGCAGAATGCAGGGGAAAGCTCTCAAGTCGATAGCTTATATGTCAAGGGTAATCGAGATCGTGGACGGAAGCCAGAGAAGGCAGGGTCCGGGAAGCGGAATTCCAGATCCAAATCCAGGGATAAGAAGACGATTCACTGTTACAAGTGCAAGGAGGCGGGACATATGAAGCGAGACTGTCCGAAGTTGAAAAAGCAGACAGATGAGAAGCGTGATGGCTCATCCAAGTCTGTGAACGTGGTCGAGGATGATAATTCTGATTGCAGTGAGGGTGATATGCTTTCTATTTCAACGACACAATTGACGGATGCTTGGATTCTTGATTCTGGATGTTCTTATCACATCACGCCAAATAGGGAATGGTTTTCGACATACAGGCCGGTTAATTCTGGTTCGGTTTATTTGGGTGATGATCGATGTTGCAATATTGTTGGTATTGGTGATGTCAGAATTAAGATACACGATGGCTCCGTTCGGACGTTGAGTGGTGTTCGACATATCCCAGACTTGAAGAAGAATTTGATTTCCTTGGGCACTTTGCACAAGAATGGTTTTATCCCTAAGGCTGACGAGGATAGGGAAACCATTCGGATTGTTAAAGGAGCATTGACTGTGATGAAAGGCAAGATGACTGCAGGGAATATCTACAGATTGTTAGGGAGTACCGTTGCAGGTGGAGTTCACTCTGTTGAGTCCTGTGATGATACGACAAAATTGTGGCATATGCGCCTTGCTCATCTTAGTGAACGTGGTATGGCAGAATTACACAAGAGAAACTTGTTGCATGGTGTCGAAAGCTGTAAGCTCGACTTTTGCAAGTATTGTGTTCTTGGTAAACAGACTAAAGTCCGTTTCAAGACTGCGAAGCACACAACTCAAGGGATTCTTGATTATGTGCATTCTGATGTATGGGGGCCTTCCACGACATCGTCTTTGGGTGGATCTAGGTACTATGTTACTTTTATTGATGATTTTTCACGGAAAGTTTGGGTGTATTTTTTGAAACAGAAATCTGAAGTTTTTGAGAAGTTCAAGCTGTGGAAAGCTGAGGTAGAAAACCAAACAGGACGAAAAATCAAGTGTTTGCGGTCTGACAATGGTACGGAGTACACAGATTCACAATTCCTACAATTCTGTAAGAAGCATGGGATTCAGAGGCATTTTACAGTGCGCAAGACACCACAACAGAATGGTGTTGCGGAACGAATGAATAGGTCGTTGAATGAAAGAGCCAGATGTTTGCGGTTGAATGCGGGGCTTCCCAAACACTTCTGGGCTGAGGCTGTTAACATGGCGTGTTACCTTATCAACAGATCGCCAAGGGCATCGCTGGCTGGGAAAGTTGCAGAAGAGGTATGGACTGGTCATGATGTTAGTTTTGATAACTTACGGATTTTTGGTTGTCTTGCTTATGTGCATGTACCTGCTGATGAGAGATCCAAACTTGATGCAAAATCGAAGGAGTGCATTTTTCTGGGTTACAAGAAAGGTGTCAAAGGATTCAAGTTCTGGGATCCAGTTACGAAGAAAGTTGTGATTAGTAGAGATGTCGTTTTTGATGAACAATCCATGTTGCAGCAGAAGCAAGACACGACAGTGGTGGATTTCGAGCAGTTTCCAGTTGAGAAACCAGAAACTTCTCAACCGACTTCTGGTGGTTCCACTACGGATGATTTGCAGGATTATAGTCTCGCCAGAGACAGGGTGAGACGGACGAATATAAAGCCTCCGAACAGATTGGGTTTTGAAGACTTGGTATCTTTTGCACTTATTGTTAGCAGTGATGATCCGGTTACTTTTCATGATGCCGTTACTAGTCAGGAAAACGATAAGTGGATGGCAGCCATGGTTGAGGAGATGGAGTCTTTGAATCACAATCGCACATGGGAGTTAGTTCCCCTTCCTGAGGGTAAGAAGCCGATTGGTTGCAAATGGGTGTATAAGAAGAAACCAGTAGTAACAGAAAAAGAGGGGGAGAAGTTTAAGGCTCGTTTGGTAGCGAAGGGTTTTTCACAGCAGAAAGGAGTTGATTATGATGAAATCTTTTCTCCTGTGGTCAGGCACACTTCAATCCGAGCAGTACTTGCATTGGTGGCTAGTTGGGATTTGCATTTAGAGCAGATGGATGTTAAAACTGTTTTTTTGCATGGTGATTTAGAGGAGCAGATCTACATGCGGCAACCTGAAGGTTTCACTCAACCTGGAAACGAGCATTTAGTTTGCAGATTGAAGAATCTTTGTACGGGTTGAAACAGTCTCCGAGACAGTGGTATAAACGGTTTGACTCCTATATGATCAAGATTGGCTACAACTGATGTGAGTATGATTGTTGTGTCTATTTAAGAGCCTTGATGATGGTTCTTTTATTTTTCTATTACTGTATGTTGATGATATGCTGATTGCTGCGAAGAACATGGATGATGTTATCGGTTTGAAAACTTTATTGAGTCAGGAATTTGATATGAAAGATTTAGGTGCTGCAAAGAAAATTCTTGGAATGGAAATTTGCAGGGATAGAGACTCAAGGAAACTGCGGCTATCTCAACGGGGTTATGTTGAGAAAATGCTAGAAAGGTTTGCGATGAGCAGCGCGAAACCAGTTAGCACTCCATTGGCGAATCACTTTAAGCTCTCATCAGAACAGTGCCCCAAGACAGATAAGGAAGCTGAAGATATGGCAAAGGTTCCGTATTCTAATGCTGTTGGCTGCTTGATGTATGCGATGGTATGTACTCGTCCTGATTTAGCTCATGCTGTTAGTCAAGTTTGTAAGTACATGTCTAAACCTGGTAAGCAACATTGGGAAGCAGTCAAGTGGATCTTTCGGTACTTAAAGGGTACTGTGGGACATGGAATTGTTTTTGGGAGTCAGCGGGATAATCCTTTGGTTGTAGGATATGTGGATTCAGACTATGCAGGTGACTTGGATAATAGAAGATCTACGACAGGGTATGTCTTTACTCTTGGTGGAGGGCCTATTTGTTGGAAGTCTACTGTTCAATCTATTGTGGCTCTATCTACAACTGAAGCTGAGTACATGGCAGTGGCTGAAGCTGCAAAAGAAGCTTTATGGCTTACTGGTTTAGTGAAGGAGTTGGGTATTCAACAAGGTGGAGTTCAGTTGCTTTGTGATAATCAAAGTGCTATTCACTTGGCTAAGAATCAGGTGTATCGTGCTAGAACTAAACATATTGATGTAAGGTTCCACAAGATCAGAGAGTTGGTTGCATCTGGAGAGGTTTTGTTTCAGAAGGTACATACTGATGAAAATGCCGCTGATATGTTCACTAAGCCAGTTACGACAGACAAGTTCAAGCATTGCTTGGACTTGTTGAATGTTTCGAGTTGTTAAAGAATCAAGGTAACCCAACCCACATTGAATTTTCAAAAGGCAGAATATTCGCCAAGGTGGAGATTTGTTAGGTATGGCTCATAAAATATACCAGTAAAGAGGACAGGAGATGGAGCGGAGTGAGCGAACATCAACTGTCCTTACAAAGAAAGTCTCGTTGTGGGGTTACGAATTATGTGGGTTGGGGTGCGGGGGCGCAGCCCCCCGCGGTACGGTACAGGGTTAATTTTGTAATTATGTACCAGGGTTTTCTATTATAAATAGAGATGTAACCTAGACCTAAAATATCATTGAATAAAAACTTCTAGCGCCGCCTAGGCACCGAGGACGTAAGCACATTGTCGAACCTCGTAAAATTCTCGTGTTCTTTTGTTTTCTTTACCCGTTTTCGTCAACACATGCCATGATTGTGGATGATAGGGTTTTGAATTGCACTTGGGAGATGCAGCCTCCGAGGGAAAATCTTTCAAAGAACTGATGAAACGATAACGCCGCGATTGGAGGTCTCATCGTGCATGGACCCTGGGAAACACCGAGAGATATGCCGATTATGACCGAGTGTGAAACAATTCCGAGCTCTAAAATCTGAAAGGAAGACATTACAACCATGGCAAAATATGCAAATACCAACAGCTCAAACTTTGTCCCAAAATTTTATCAGCCATTAATCAGAAGGAAGTTCAGAAACCAATCAAAACACTGTTGTAGGGCATTGAACGTAACAATTTGTCACATTCAAATTAGGGAAGAAAGAAACTCATGTACTTATCAGTGTATGTAATCGAAAAGTTAATCATACACACATCAGTTTGCATGAGGCATGGATGATCGATCAATCATAACGTACTCGAGAATTAACAAAACGTATTCATCGAGCACATGAGATGAAAATCATCGAGGAACAAAAGGGTTAGTGACCACTTTAATCTTAAGACATATATTAAGAATGTGTTTAGCGTTGTTTTTTTTACCGTTCAAAGGCACTTGTCGAAAACAATACTAAACCTAGGGTCCCCTATGGTGCAAACAAATTCCACTGTGTTTGCTTAAGTATCACACTCATAAGGCATCATTTATGGCAAATTTGAACAATCTCAAGCAAAAAGCATGAATGGCACTTATTAACTTCAAGACAATACGTTTAGTCGAAGAAAATAAATTACCTGGGAAACTACAACATCCTCACGCCACTATCATCATCATGCCCATGCCCATGACCATGACCATGTCCATCATCATGATCATAGGGACGAGTCCTCAGTAATCCATCACATACGTCTTCTCCATGTGGATGACTATGCCTATGGTGTGCTGCATGCGCATGCATCCCAACGATGTGCATGCCCCCACCTTCCTCTTCCCCCAAAAACTTTCCCTACCCCGTCCTTGTTATCCACGACTAGTCCAATCCCGAGGTCTGAAGCCCGGAAATGGGAATTTGGACCATGGGTATTTTGGCAAGCAAGGATCCGTGAGAGCTTCGGTGCCACCGGCGAGCATGTGGACGAAGCCGGTGGCGAGGATCACGCCGGCCGCGAAGGCCTTGGCGGCTACGAAAAGGCTACCGTCTGTACGGAAGAACTTACGGTGCTTGCCTACGAGTGGAATCGCGAAGCCGGCTACACCGGATAGGAGGATCGAGGCTATGGCTATGAGCTTTAACTTCAACGCCGCTGGTTCGTCACGACAAGCATCTAGCTCCGAGGATTGGCGGCTTGTGTTGCTCATTGAATCGGTTATCGTTTGCAAAAAAAACGACTCTGTTGATTCAAACCAAGTGAAACAGATTTAAAAATGAACAAAATTAATGAAACTTTTGGCACAATTGAACAAATTTGCAGCTAAAATTAGGTTGAATTATGAAATCACATACCCCAAAAATCATTTTTCCCCGAAATTTATTTCATCCCCAAAGTTTCCACCAGTCAATAACATCAAAACCAGAAAATTAACAAAAGGTTACTGGAAATTTACATCGGAAAAGCGTGCTGTTTGATCCCAAACGATCAAGGCGGAGCAGCGCCCATATATCCTAATCAAATTAAAAAAACCAATAAACACAACGAATTAAGAACAAAAACCCAGAAACAATAAGTGTATGGGTTTCAATACCAGAGAACAAAGCCGAATGAAGAACATGAGAAGAGAGAATCTAAAGCAAATCAAGTGATGGATTCAATTTATACGGAAAGGATTTATTTTCGTTACTTTTTAGAATGACGAATCAAAGTAAAGAGGATGAAGGAAGAATCTTGGAACTATACATACACAGAATGTATAAAGATTCCGAGAAGGTTACAGCGGTGGTGATATATGGCGTCCACAGTTGCGACCTTTTGTTTAAATATGCACTCCAATACGTCGACATTGTTTCTTCGAGTCATCGTTGTTTCCTTAACTCCCGCTTTCTTCCATGTTACCAATCAACTTTTTACGTTTAATTGTGATTTTAGTCCCTCTGTTATTCTAAAACTTAAGATTTCATCTTTCATTTTAATTTGACCCCTCTTGTTTTCAATGCTGGCAGAAGATCCAAATAGGTAATACTAAGTGTAGTTGGAATGATGATATTGAGTTATAACATTTTTCATCTTCCATTTTAATTTGATTTTAGTGCTGGTAGAATATTCAAATTTGGTTCCTCTGACATTTTCTGATTGTAAACTTTTTCTTATAACATTTTTCGATTGATAACTGAATTGTTTTTTCGTAATATTTTCGGTTCAAAAAAATATTAAAAAAATTAACATATTAGGTTATAGTCAATTGAAAGTATTATGATTTTTTATAGCATTTTCGATTACGTATTCCCTTACTTTTAATTAGGCTACGGTACGACATAAATACTCTATTTGTTTAAAAATTATGTCGTCTTAATAAATAAAATAATTTATTTATTATTAAACACATAATTGATTGAGATACAATGTGTAGTTTACCCTATTTCTTTTCATATGTCTTCTTAGTGTTTTTATTGGACTAATGTCTTTTATTTTATAAAATGAAGATGATTATAAAATAATATTATTTTAAATATTTTTATCATCTAATAATAAAAATCTTAATCACTCATATTATACTCATTGATACTTAAATTTAATATTTTTTTAAATAATAATTATTTTTTAATCATTTAAATAATTTAATTCGTGTAAAATTTAATTTAAAGGTCAACTCATAAAATATCATACAAAATATCAATGTCAGCCACCCTGCCTCGTTTAACGAGAAGCCTCATATCTATCTGGTCGCACACGTCCACCAAAGCCAAAGCCAAAGCCCCCGGCCCCTTGTCTGTTTCCCATAGATCTATTCAACTCCAACAGGCCACAGCACATGCCCAACACAAAGACACTGCCCTTAAAAGCTTAACCTTCCCACAACTTTACCCTTGGCTTTGAAAACCAGAAGCCATGTTGGAAGAGCCAATGTCCACAGTACCATATTCCATATGGACATCAATCCTCAGTTGGTTTACCCCAATAGTGTTCTTCGTCTTCATCAACCTCACAATCGGCACCATTTATTTCACTTCCACTTTGACTTCCAACAACAATGGCAAAACACATGAACAAGACGATGAAACAAACCCAAAGCTTGTTAGATCTACATCTGTGCTGCAGAGGCTGAAATCTATCAACCTGTGTGCGTATAGATCTCAAGAGCCTGCTGTTGCATATGAAAAAGCCCCGGATTTGAGTGACTTCCACTTCTCTTTCCATCACCAGCAGGCTTCCCTTGACCGATCACCTTCGTTCCTACAAATGGTTATGTCCATTAACCTCAAAAGCTACTTCTCTCCCGAGAAAATCCATGAAAGTTTCTCCCATTTTGCGCCGGACGGGACAGCGGAGGAATCCGTGGCGACCCAGAGTGGCGGACGGACGCTTGAAGAAATATACGGTCAGTTGGATGGTGAAAATAGCCATGTTGCGAGGACTAAATCTGGTACTAAACCAGCATCCGGGGAGGTACCGACTAAGCTTCCCAGGAAGATGAAGAAATCCGCTAGTGTAAAGTCCGCTTTTCGACATTTTAAAGAAGATGACATCGTTGAAGCTCGACGGCCGGCCACCGTGAGGGAAGGGAAGGATAAAGCTATGGAGGAAGACGAGGAAGTGGATGCCAAAGCGGATGATTTCATCAACAAGTTCAAGCAGCAGTTGAAGTTACAGAAGCTTGATTCCATCATTAGGTACAAGGAGATGGTTAACAGAGGAAGTGGAAGATGAAAGTAAATTACTAAACGTCAAAGCTTTAGATTTTCAACATCCTTTTTTTTGTTTCTTTTTTGGGGATTAATTTCAGGGTTTTCCATGATCGGTGTGTAATGTAAGGGTGTATAGATCCAGTACTGGTATTGTTTTTCCAGAAGTTTGTGTTAGGAAAGTATGGCACTGTCATTTCATCTTCTAGTTCCAAACATTAAAAGCATCATCTTCTTCACATGGTTTGAAGAGTGAGCCTTTAATGGGATAGATTCTTTAAAATTTTACTAATTTTAGGATTCATGAACCCACTTCCATTAACGTTCACCATTGCCATTAGTAGCATTATGCTTTTTAGCTGTTGTCTACTAGTACTTCTATTGTTTTAGATGGCTGTAAGAAATGGAACTTAGTACCAATTTACATCAATAGCAGAAGAACTCAATATTTATTGTTGTTGTTTTTAAAAGTCACGGATTCAAACAACAACAATTATATTAAGATGATTAAATATTTATTATCAAATGATTAAGAATATTTATAATATATACTATTTTATAGTCATCTTAGTTTAATAAAAAAATTATACACATTTTAAATTATAACAATTGTTTTTAATTTTATCTTAAAATTATAATTTTTATTTTAAATTACTTCCTAAAATTTTCAATAATTTAATTTTATTATGAAATTATAACCCTAATTCTAAAAAGTCTTTAAATTTTATCTTAAATGGATTTTTTAATAACCTATAGTGTAAATCTATTACCTAAAAAAACAACATTCTTCTCGACTATCGTGACTGTTTAATTGGTTTTATTTTTGCACTATTAAGATATACTAATTATATTAATATTTGTTATTAATAAAAACTATTAACTTAAATGTAAATATTAACTTGTATTATATAGTAGTATGATGTGATCTGAACAAAAATTAATGTCATACAACGTTTATTAAAGTTATTATTTAGATTAATAAAAAAATATTATTTAGAATGAAATTGAAAGGTTATTTGTTTTTGTTCTCTTAATTTATCTATGATTTTTCTAAGTTTTAAAATTAAATTATTATTTTATTTAAATTCAACAATAATTATTATTTATGTCATATAATATTATTATATAATGCACATAATTTTTTACATGATAGTTAATAATTTGTGTAACAATTTTACTAATAAGGGATATGATTAATATATAATGGTGATTTAAGATGAAATTAGAATGAAATATTTGGAGATTAAATTAAAATAAAATTTACAATTTACGGATAAAATGAGAGTATTATTAGTTCAAGTACTAATTTAAATTGAAGATTGTAATTAAGGACTTGTAATGAAATTAAACTCAATTTTTCAGACAAGACTGCGAGGGCTGTCGGTTCCAAAACCTGAAGAAAGAAAACCGTATAATGGGTGTGGCATGTTTTCCAGGAGAGGAAGAGGCAATGCTTTTACTAAAAGGGCCCACATTTGTTCTTGACTGAAGGGAGACCTATGGGGCTGTTTTAGTAAAAATGAATATCAAAGGAGTTTATTTTTTATTTTATTTTACTGTAAAAAAATTGTTTGTCCGCAAAAAATGCTGATTGCTGTCAGGTGCTTGGCTGTGATGCACGTGGGAGAGTTTGTTTGGGTACTATACGTTAACACCCAAATCTAATGCTCTCTTGTAACTTGTAGTTTAATTAGTGGAAATATATATTTTTAATCCCCGTATTTTAATTTTATATAATTTAGTCCTTTTATTTCTATAATGTGACATATTAGGCTCTATGTTGATGTTAAAAATCAAGGTTCAAGTCCTATGTAATTCATTCGAAGAATTGTAGTATATGATTGTTTAAAAAATACCAATCATTTTTTTATTATCACTTGTATTGAATTCATTGATCGGTTAATTCAGATCGAATATTATAAAAATGTAGTGACTTAACTTCACGTCAAGGCATTCAGAAGTGTTATTATAATATTCGAGTGTTCCATATTCGGAAGTAGATTATTTGGGTCTTCCCACTGCTACGCAGTTACGAGATCCTTTGTTTTAAACTGCAATGCTCGGACCATGTTTGATATGTCCTCGTAAATATTTGTTCTTAAAATGAATTACATTTTCTGCTGATGACTTGCGGAAAAAGTTATTGTTTTCTCTTACTTGGTACTGGAAGTCGTGACAGATTGGGTGAAATCAAAGAATCATGGAAGCTGACATCACTGCTGATGAAGAAGTTTGTAAGGTTTCTTCTCCCGTGCTTTCCGCATCACTCTGGATCCGCAAAGAATGAAGGCAAGTAGAATCCGTTAACCATGTCACCGTTTTTAGTTATGCACATGATGGCTTTCTTGTCTCTTGACTGAGTTGTCGCATATTGTGATGTTGCCATACCATGTCATTATGCATGGCCATAGTGTAATGCACATTTTTGCTTGCATTGTTTCTCGTCTTTGTCCATTTCTCATAGTTTTACTGTAACACCCGATACGGATTACCCGATTCGATTTGAAGTGTCACATTAGGGTAACCGGAGCGACCCACAGTAAAAATTCAGGAGAAATTGATTTTTTTGTTAAAACATGTAAAATCATAAAATAATTTATAATTAAAATACAAGTTTAGAAAATCAGTTATATATTACAAACATAATTAAAATCATACAAGTTCCAGACCCAGTATAAAAAAATCAAATATCACCTACATGCCCCCTAATTACACTTGGACCGTACTCTACAAACAAAGCCATAGGAACTCTCATTATTGATGTCGATAGTTGCACTGAATTTATTCTTTTAACATTAAATGGTGAGTAAAAGAGTGAGCTTTGGGAAGCTCAGTAATACAAAACTACCAAAACATGCTGAAAGACATGCACATAAATAGCAAACGTTTAAAATTTTCTCATTGGTTAGGCATCTACAGGTTTCCGTGATGAGCTGAGATTCCACTGATATTTCTTCGGATAACAGAAAGGTAGCTTATAGCTCAGAGGAAACGTTCAGAAGACCAGGTTCAAGATATTGAAACAATGTCTATTGTGTTTCTTCAAAATCAGAATAAAATGTAATCCTAGTTTTAAAAACAATAGTATTTATTTAAGTAAAATAGGTTTTTAAAATCACTGTAGTACCCTCCAACTGAATACTCCAAGTGAAATTTCTCAGGACATCTTCCATATGGACTTACCCCAGACCTCTTGGATCTAGGAGTCCAATATGAATGATCAGAACATAAAGGATTTACCAGCTAGCTGAACCTCAGAGACTCTAGAATCCTACCCAATCAATACCCCAATAAAACAGTTTCAGATAGAACCAGTAATATCAAAAAAAAGAAATCATAAGTTGGGTTTTTATTTAAAATACAAAATTTTCCTCTAATCGTATACCAAATGAAGTACCCTAGAACAAGCATCCATAAGGACTTCCCCTAGACCCCTAGGATCTAGGAGTCCAAAATGAATGATCAGAACAAAATTGATTTACCAGCTAGCTGAACCTCAGAGTCTTCAGACACCTACCCAAATAGTACCCCAATAAAACAGATCAGATAGCAGACAATAATATAAAAAATTAGGAGCTAATTGCATATTGTGTCAAAAATCAGAAACCATATATCAAAAATCGTACTTTATATAACTCAGAGAAAATATTTTTTTTCAATAGGAAACACACTAGAGGATCTAAATATTTTTCGAAGTCGATTGGAAATTATCAGGAATAGAAAGTATGAACTTACGCAAAATTGATTGGATTTCAGGATCCAGGTCCCTATTAAAAGGGTTTAGTTGTTATTGGATCTAAACAGACATTAAGAGATTGATACTTCAGAACCAGTTAGGATCTCAGGTGTATCATAAAGGTATTTAGGAACTCTTACATCAGAATAAATTAAGATTTTCAGATATAACCAAATTGATTCCATTATTTAGGTCATCAAGGGTATTTCAGACACTTTGATTTCTAGTGGATTCTTAGCAACTTAATCCAATAGGAGTGAAATAATGATTTATGGTATTCAAGATTCATGTTGATTTATCAGGATATCGTGTCAACTAAAGCTGAACAAATCTCAACACTACGATATCTATCAACCACTCAAATCGATACACTTCAAAAATATTCACACTTTAATACTGACAACACTAGTCGAACTGATCATCTTCAGAACCATTGTTGAACGGATCTTGAGGAGTTGTATGTATTCCGATGGTATTTGTTTTATTTATGTATCGCAATAGTCTCCAAGATGATTGATGTACTTGGGTCGTCTCCATAACTTTTAAGGGTCATTAAAATATTTAATGCTTCACTGGTACTTTCAAAACTTGTCTACAAACATTTTCTTAAATCAGATCATTAGGGTATTTGGGTCATTTTAGTACTCAGAGTTATTCTAGTCATTCTCTTTCGAATATAGTCTTATCATATATTTAAGCCATTTCGACCCATTCAGAAGTTACAGATACCTTGGTTGGTTTAGTCTTCAGGTGTTTGCTTAGGAGCGTAACTCAAAGGATGCTTTTCAGAGTTATTTTTCACTTTGGGCACAATTCTCATCTTTTAACATAATAAGGGTATTTTCGTAATTTTACCTATCAAGAGTATTTTCATAATTTGTTTTCCAATTATTTTCAGTATTTAACCATTTTACAAAAGAAATTAGAGTTTACGGATTCTTAGGTTACTTGAATTACCAATTAACCACTGAACTTGAAATTATTTCTCGTTAATCTTGTAGTTCCTTACAAGAGTCCATCAAGTCTTATTCAATTTACCGCCTTTATATTGTATTCACTATTAGTTTTAGAAATCCTCAATAAGCACGAGACCAATAATTTTCATTCATGGAATTATCAATTATCAACGAGTACGATAAAACATTCAAAATGCAGTAAAATATTATCTCGATTTTTTAAACACACCAATCAATCAATTAAACTCCATTTGGTTTCCCTTTAACTTAAATTCGATGCCCCAAAAAGTCTCGGATACATAGCAAAACAGATTACGTTAGAAACAAAACTTAAA